GGTTACATTACGAATTCCCAATAACTTTTACATTGAAAAATTATTAATTTTCTATATAGACTCCAAAAGAACAATGAAAAACTTGCCGAACGCTAATCTTTAGATCCATATCAAAGGGACAACACAGAACATGAGTCTTATGCTGGTTGTGAGGGACCAATTAATTTTAATTGTGAGTATTTCAGTAACTGGTAAAGTTCATCGTTTGTTAAAGGGCCAGTAAATAAGAAAATGTATCCACAGTTATAAGGGCATGATTGTCACTATATACATCGAATTTTGCTTCTTTACACGTTTAAATTCAGATTATCAATGGAAACGAAAATAAGGGCAATTATGGAAATCAAGCATGGCCAAATGGTAAACAAATTATTTTTAGACTGGAAAAATAATTAGAATTTTAAAAAGTCAACATTTGTAATGAAAATTTGAAAAAAACATTGGGTAACATTTGTTACCCAATAACGACTCAGTAACGAACACCAGTTGAAAAGTAAACGAGCCTGCAGCAGTGTATGAAAGTCCTAACAGCAAGTGATGGTGATGCTAGTTATGTTAATAGGTTCTGCTCCGCTGATTACAGTTCCCTAGAATTACAGGTGTGTCTTTAAATGAATAAATAATATCGCTTCAAAGCTTTGCCTTTATTAATATAAATGCTTATCAATGTTATATACGATTTGAAACTTGTTCTGGTTAAACCTAGTTTAGCATACTTTATTAGCTTTTGATCTATACTTCTCTAAGTAATATATGTAAAATGGATAATTATATGAATTCCCACATTGTTGTTATCAGTTAAGGCATGCCTCATCAATGCCTCATTGAAAACGCGTGTGATTGTTTCTTAAAAAATATTTTGTTTGATTTCTTTAGATTATCCCAGAATTGCAGTTACCAGAAGCACAGACAGTACAAGTGGATCCTAGTAATCAGTATTATAATGTTTCCGTTAAATAAAGATATATGTTGTTTGGATAAAACTTTTAGAAACAACTATGTATAGCAAATCAAATTGTATTATTATATGTATCTATGTTGAGGTAACTGATCGGCAGAAAGATGTATGGCAAATATAGTTTAAATATTGTATATACCAAAAACTTTGCGACACATGTTTTTGCCTTCGCCGTCCGTCTAAACGAAGCGTTTCTAGCTTTCACATGTCAAACTGCTTGTGGGATTACAATGAAACAGTAGTGATCAGTACCATCCCTGGTTGTTCATGTCGCCGGCACGTTCCGCTTGATCACCAGAGCTAAAAACAGACACATTTTGCCCGGCTTTCACAGGTCAAAATGCTGGTTTGATTTTAATGAATCGTGACAGGAATGATCAGCACCATACCTAGTTGGGCATAACGTCGGGAAGTTCCGCTTCAATGCACTAAATAGCCACCCGAGCTAAAAACAGATAAATCTAGTCCGACTTTCACAGGTCAAACTGCTGATTCGATTTCAATAAAACTTCACATGAGTAATCAGTACCATCCCCTGTTCGGCATATCGCCGGCAAGTTCCGCTTCGGTGAGGAACATTGCATTCAGAGCTAAAATTGGCAAATCATGTTCCGTTTTCACAGATCAAACTGTCGGCGGGATTTCGACGAAACATTGTTGTTCATAATGCCTGCACGTTCCTCTGCGCTGTCCGAAATGGCCACCAGAGCTAATAATAGAAGACCGACTTTCACAGGTCAAACGCTAGCGGAATTTCGACGAAACTTCACAGACGCGATCAGTACAATTTAAACTTGTTGGAGACATATGATTTTTGTTTTTTGTTGTTGTTTTATTTTGTTGCAAAACAAAGTTTTATTATAAAAATTACTCTATGAAGAAAACTAAATTAAACTTCATTGTTTGGCCAATAGACGTTAATTGTTATATTTGTTTGATTAGAGAAAAGAAATCGAAACTACAAATTTATTACAATTAAATTATAATCATTATATTCATTTGTTTGGAGAAAAAAATAAAAGAAACTACGATATAAGACAAATAAACTTTTATTATTATTTGTTTGTGCAGAGATAACTAGCACAAACTACAATAATGGACAAACCAACTTATAGTATTATACGTGTTTGTGTGGAGAAAACTTAAAACAGACAATATCTTTCAAAAAAGTTTTATTACTATATTTGTTTGTGCAGGGAAACTTAAAGAAACTACATTATATTGGAATTTAAACTTTTATATATATGTGTATGTGTAGAGAAACAGGGGGTCGAACGTATAGCTGTGAAATACTGTTTTAAGCGAGGTGAAATTGTGCGATACTGAATTATGGTGGATTTTAGACTGTAAACATACGTCTAAGTGAGTATATTTTATAAAAAATGTAACAATTATTGACTTTTAAAATTATAGCATTTTGTGTGGATGATGTGGGGCTCTGATCTACATGTATTTCCTCGAAAACATAAAAGTAAATACAATATTAAAACAATATCGAAGGTTAATTGGCAGTACACTAATTTTGTGTCCGTGACAAAGTCATAAGATTAAAGCAAAAATCGTGACTGTTAGTTGCTATTTCTACTTATAACTTATGTAGATACTCATAATTTTTCTGCATAGCAAAGATCTGTGCTAAGAGATATATATGTACTGTTGTCAAAATAATTATGTGTATGACAGGTTTTGGTGCGATAAGATATTTGGACGTTACAAAAGGTCGAATAATGTTGACTGTGCAAAAAGCTACTTAAAACTTTATAACATTTTTTTTCTTCTCCTTTTTTCGGGGGGGAGGGGGGTGGGCATGAGAGAACTAATTACTGACAGCATTTACTTTGCTTAAACTTAGAAATACTTATATAATTTCGTCACCTTTATTTCAAGAATTACCTTCCCTTTGATCTCTAATTTTCGTAATCAATTTTTTAAATGACTCTTAAGTTTTTCTCTCTGAAAAACAACTTCGAATTATATGCAGTTTATCCAAGTGCCAAACAAATTAGATTTGACAATCTATATTTCACTTCCATTACTAAAATGTTTTTACTTTAATAAATTATTTCAGAATCCTTGAACCTGATGTTCGACCACCAGGATAAAGAAAAATAAGAATAATAAGAAAGGAGTTTTGAGGTACCTTGGAGAAAGGAAACGTCAATGGGAGTGCAATCTGCTGGAATGAGTTACAATGTACAATATTGAAGAAAGACTGATATTGCCTTTGTTAGTTTTCGGACATGCTTCTTAGTTAATCAAACGAAAGAAGTCGATAGTTTTTACAATTTATATAAAACAAACATCTCAACCAATGGTGAAAATGAGTACAATAGGGATAATGCATGCATGTATATCCAATTTGAATAGTTTGCAACGTAAAATCCTGATGCTACAACTCCCATTGTTCTTCGTATATAGTGTAATTTAAATGCTACATACATCTATGTTAATTCACTTACTATTTACACTTGAAGAATATTGAAATAAATGTAAAATTTCTTGTTTGTGGTTCTGGCACATAAAATCTTAATCATGTATACGGTTTTCTCTCTCAATGTCTAGCTGATTAGTGGAATTTCCAAATGAAAATGTCTTTCCCTGCTAAATATCATACTACATTTTTCACAAACAATGAATGAATGAAGTTAAAGCTTAATGAGGGTCCATCCGCCCTTTCGAGCACAAAATGCAGCTTGCGCTGTCGAGTACGGACCCCGGACATAACACCTGTCATGTCCTTAAAGAGTTAATGTTGAAGCACAAAGTGGTGATAATTTACCTCCCTGCAATTGTAGCTTTAAATAGTAAAATAAACTACACTATATATTTCGCATATATCTAGTACAATATTTTCGTATTTATTACTGTATGCATGATAACCGGTCCGATAAATTAACTGTACGAAAAGTTTTGGGTTCCTTAAGATGCGTTTTCAAATACATATTGGCTAAAGACTATATATACTCGGGCAAGATCTTCCATAATCAGGGAAAACATACAGGAGGCTTATATGCACTGTTGTGTGTTTAACTGATCCTTAGTTAAATTGGGCATGTCAAAAACAATCTTCAGTATGAAGTAGAGCTAAGATATTTTTCACACAAAAACACATCAGAATTATTGTAATGAAAAGAAATCACCTTTCAATTCAGTGAGTCTTTTAAATTTTCACTGTATCAGCACACATGGATTTAGATCTGTCCTTCCTTTTATCCATTTTCAAATGCCATGACCATACGCGTAATCTAAGTTATGATATAGTTAACTGTTAAATAAATGAAACTGCTTTTCACCATAACAGTTACTTATTGCTAATGCGTAGAAAACATATATTAGTCGATCATGAAAACGCATCATTAGGAACCCAAAACTTTGCGTACAGTTAATTTATCGGACCGGTTATTATGCGTACAGTAAAAATATACGAAAATATTGTAGATATATGCGAAAATATAGTTAAAACTGTTCATGTAGTTTATTTTACTATTTAAAGCTACATATTGTAGCTATAACTAATCAAATATCTGTACTACAACGTCTGTTGTATTCTTTTTAAAGGTATTGCCGGTTGAATTTGAAGTAGCAAATACCTCAATAACTTTCTCCTTACAATGAAATAGATTATTTCACTTGACCTCATACGCAAATATGTCTTCCGCTCCACATGCACTATATTATTAGAACAAATTTAACAACATACAGCAAATTTTTGTAGCAAGCTGGTACTTATCAACACTATGTGTCACTTCGCCTCCGCCATTATTCCGTATCGCACCATTTAACCTCGCTTTAAAAAAGTATGGCACTGCTATACGTTCGAACCCAGGGACAAACTTACTAGAAAATACAATATATTGCAAAAAAAAAGGTTCAGCTATTTCATTTCTTTTTGTAGAGAAAACTAATACAAACAACCATTTATGACTATTAATTACTATTTACATGTATTATCATATTTGTTTGGCTGGCGAAAACTCATCGAAAATATAATAAATGGCAAATAAACTTTAACTTTATAATCATATTTTTGTGTTGATAGAAAAATGATAGAAAAGATGTATTGCAAGTAAACTTTATGTTTTCAAATTTGAGTTAAAGGATTATTTTAGAAATTTACTTTTGTTCACATTATATAGTTTTGATTCTGTTTACTAAAAGAAATGATTAACGAGAGCTTTTACCAGTTATGCTTATTTTTCTCTCTTTATATGTGATTCATTTAAAATTAATGTATTTTTCATGTATTAGGTAAAATGTGTAATTGCTGAATGCTTTATGTACAATGACTTTCTATTGAAATAAATATATTTGAGGAGTCAAGTATGTTAAGAGAAAATGTGCCTTTTTGAGAGTAGATTTGAAATGTTACGATATGTTTCCTCATGTAAAACGAATACAGTAAGGGAATATAGTCCATATATGACTTACTTCAATGATAACATACTATATAATCCCTTTGAAAGAAGAGAATATTATTTTAGCAGTTGCTTCTACTATAAGAATTGATTATTGATTTTTAGCTACATGCCTCCAGATGAGTCAAACTATTTCAATACAATCAAACTTGAGAGAAAAGTTTTCTAACGTTTCACGATTCAAGTAAAATTTAACATAATTTTATTATATGCGATTAATGATTTTTTCAGTATTTACATTCTTATTTCTACTGCGTAACTAACGCAGTAAAGGCTATTTATGTATTTTGACCACTTTTTTACGTACAAGCTTTTCTAAATAATAGGCTAAATGTATATTATCTTACTTCTGTATATATATATATATATATAAATCATTGCATCTTAATATATCTGAATATTCTGAACGATGTATTTTTTGCAGTAGCTTGATACTATCTAAACAGTTACCATCAGACATGATATCGTTCTGCACAGACAGGTTTACCTGCACATTTGGTTAACTGTAGATTAGTGTGCTGTTAAAACTGGAACAAAAAAAGATTGTTACTTAAACTAGGCGTTGACTTATTGTTAAAATTGTAAAAAATGTAAGCAACTTTTTTTTATCAATATTCCATTTAAAATTGAAATAAAATGTATATACCCCGTATATTGTAGAAAAGCTAGTAACTTTTAAAATGCTTACACGTATTTTGTTGTATATAAAGTTCAAATCCTGTATTTTTCTAATTATATTGTGCATGTTTTATAAATTATTTAAAGAATCATACATGTCCTGCAGTTAAATAAATATTAGCTTAAAATTATAAAAGCGTCAATTAATTTCCTGAATAAATTACGATTGGCTTAAATATTTTGTATACAATAATTACAAGTTGCTTACGAGGTATACTGGAGTGTATAGCCAAAACGAGATATATATGATCCGAGACGCTAGCCTAGAGTTATATTCTCCCGTGCAATTTGAATAACGAAGAGAATATCTAAAATTCTTATTAATGCCAAGTTAATACAAACATCAACTAAAGACCCACTTCATCGATGCGCAGAAAAAGAAAAGTAGAATGACGTCAGACGTTACACCGTTTTTATCTATTATGTACAGACCCAATCAAACCGAGCATTTTTTATGTAATTTTGTTGTGCTTAATGTTTCGAGGAATCCCTTGTTCTCAAGAAATTTATAAAACATTGTGTATCTCGTGCCTATTCTCAATTGCTGTTCTACCAGATAAAAGCCATTAAATATATACAGTGTATATACTTCAGGTTGGTGTAGTTCTGCACAGTTTATAATACGTCCAGAAACGACGTCAATAAATATAGAAAAATGGTTTCCGGAAAATAACTGTATTTAGGAATGAGACATTGTAATCAAACTTGGTATATAGCTAGGTTATATGAAGACCCCAGTTGGTTATGCATTTGAAGCTCGTGGTGTCATGTAAAGGTAATAGAAAAATGGTATCTTCACAATAGCAAAATAAAGGAATGAGATACCGCTTGGGATTGCATACGGACGCATTGGCTGAGCGTCAAGGTCAGTGTTACTTACTAAAAATAGAAAAACTGGTTTTTGGCCAATAAATAGAGTTAGGAATTGAGATACTGTAGACAAACTGGTTATATATCAAGCTTATATGAAGACCCCAGTTGGTATAGCATTTAGACCAGGTCAATGTCATCGTTAATAAAAATAGACAAATAGTTTCTGAACAATAGCAAGAGATAGGAATGGCATATTGCAATCAACTTCGGTATACAGCAAGTTTTTATGAAGACACCGGTTGGGATTGCTTGCGGACCCATGGACGCAATCTCCAGGTCACTGTTACTCAAATTAGAAAAATGGGTAATAACTTGAGTTAGGAATGAGATATTATAATCAAACTTTGTATAAAGCAAATATTATATATATTAAGGCCTCGATCCCAAGGGGTAGTTTAGTTTAGTAACTTGCGGTACATACTCGTATCACAAAACATATTCAGTTTACATATTACCCCTATCATATCTATTTGATAAATTATGTATATATCTTAAGATCAGGTACATCTATAAATTATTTGATAAAGAAACAATTTTCTGTCACTAGGTAAAATGACTATAAAGATGTTAAATGGTGGATACTGTGAAGCGTTGTGCAGCCACCGTTTGGTTATGTCGCGCTAACGAAACGTTGTATGCCGTGTTATCTTGAAATGCTTATTTAAAAGTTAACGGATAATTAAACAATATCATTATTATAGAGAACTAATTCAAAATACTCTATTTTTACAATGTACTTGAACAATGCGTATGATTTTGCAAGTTATCATGCATTTTAAATAATTATAATGTCGAGGAAATTCTTTTTAGTTTTACCTATTACAGATGACAATAGAAAGTAATGAATAAAGGATAAGATTAGACCAGCAAAAGTGCTCAACAGATTCCTTCAAAAAAGAATGCTGTATTTGAATCATGTATAATAAAAACATCTCGAGTAAGTGTTGATGACTTTTGCCTATTCTGTTTTAGACAAACGATTTTCACCCATTCACATTTTCCTCTGTTCAAGACATTTAATACATAAATGCATTAAATACCAGACCTTATAATGACTTGAACTAAAACATTGACACTTTTAACTCTAGGAAGCGAATCATTTACGTAAGCGGTTTTGGTAATTGATTTCGTTCAGAAAAAAGTCATTTACAGATAGGAATTTACTGGCAGGCATATGAAATCAAATAACAAAGTATAATTACTTTACTGTCAGCAGTTTTACGTCTGTAATATAGCCAGTACAGCCGTTATGCCTTTTAATAGACAACATTGACTTAAAGTGTCGAAATACTAAAAATACAAAAAAATTATATCATGTTACCTTCACGGAAAACCCTTTATAATATGTATACTAGTATTTGTGATCTATAGCAATTACCATGTATTATTAAAAATGATATAGGCAGACACATACAATTTCATTACAGGGCAGTATCCCCGCTAAAAATCTGCACACCAGACGGCTACATGCAATAGAACACCCTAGTACACTATCTTCTAGATGTGTTATAAACTGAAAAAGTACACGTGTCCG